GCACGCAGACCTACTAACGTACGACAAAATATAACCCTGATTAGCAGAAAGCAAAACGACAGTAACATACAGTGAGTAGCAAGGCATCAACCAAGGCGCACACAACGAGAACTGACGGACCAAAACAAGAGCAAAAAGTGTTTTGAAATCAACTGCTACAAATTAAGATATACTAAACTTAAGTGAAATTAAATCCAATGTTAAAAGTTACTAAATAAAATTAAACGTTCAGGTGAACCGGAATTGAATCCGTTGTGAAATAAAATGTTTGTACATGTATATATTTGTGTATAATCAAAGAAACTATTGCTGGATACATCGCAATCACAATCCCTTTTAACCGTCACTTAATGGGCAATTATATTATAGATAAATGTATTTATTTGAAAATGAGCTAAATATTTTTACACAAGATTATTCTATTTATTTCACTAAAACTTTTTCACTATAAACTAATAAATTAAGTTTATTTCACGAATTAACAAACTATAGATAATTAGTGTGTTAATATCTTTTTGTGTTATGAAATGAACAAAGCTATATTTTTATGGATAAAAGTATCCCGTTTTGAAACGAACACTCACATTTAAAGTTTTTTTACTTGGAAACTATCTCCTTTAGATCATAATGCAAGTAATGAAGTTGTGTTTATTAGTACTAAGAGCACGACTGCATACTTAGTTAAAAAAAAAAATAAAAACGTAAAGATCCTATTTTGAAAAGATACACCTTCAATATTTCAAGCCGTTCGAAAGATGGTATTTTATGTTTTCTTTTCTTGTATAATTAATACAATGCAAGTAGTAGTTCTAAGGAGCGGGTGAAAAATAATATAATTGCATGGGCTCGGCAAAATTGTATATAAGTTAACAATAGTTAGGAATATTATTTAAATAGTTCGTGGGTAGTCGACAACACCGTCGCTACCACTCACAACGCACATAAATATTCAAACTACTTAAAGTAAAAGTAGTAATAATAAAAAAATAACTATTATTTAAATAGTTCGTGGGTAGTCGACAACACCGTCGCTACCGAATAAAGGAACAGAAAAGTTTAATAAAAATATAAATGGCGTGAAGGCTCGTGAAAAGAAAAAAAATAACAAAACCCCATCGTTATTGTCCCGGTACATGAAATTCGTCGTTACGAGAAAAGTACTGAATTATTAATCCGCAAATTGCCATTCCAACGTGGAAGAAAGATTACAAGCAACGTGCAAGAAGGAAGATCGCAACCAAGGAGGAAGAAAGAAGATCACAATCAACGTAGAAGAAAGAAAATCTCAATATAATTATGTAAGTGAAACCCCTTTTCATATCCGCCATATATCGACTCTTTAGTAGTATTTGTATTGACTGTAACTGTATGACTGTGTATCGCGGGCAAGATATGAATGAACAGCAGTTGCAAGGTATTATATATGCGGCCGTTATTGCCGCACTGCAGGTTCAAAGAACAGAATTCGAAGCCAGGATAGAGCAGCTTACAAACCAATCCACAACTGTGACAGCCCCCGAAATCAAGGCCTACGAGCCAATAAAAATTATAGACGGTGTCGAATGTCATGAAGGGCCGGATGCAGTTAAGTCGGTCCCAGAGTTCGATGGCTCACAGGAACTATATGTGTCCTGGCGGGAGGCAGCATCTCAAAGAATGTCTGATTACAGACGCCAGAGCGTAAATTATTTGACACAAGAAAAAAATTATGTATCCCAATACAAAAATCAATACGATCAAGCTGCTTATGATGCAGCGGCGGAAATAGAAGCTGAAAATGTAGCCGGCTATGAAACAGATACTCTTAATTTGTTAGCGGAGAAGGCGATTGGGATCCTCCATGCCAGTTCACATATTTTCCCGAATATTGCTGCGAGGCAAATAGATCGGAGCAACGCTTATCGCCAGAATATGGTCTTCGAAGTGGGAGAAAAATCCAACTAGAGGTTGGGCGACAAGGTCATCCCATTGCATATTGAAGAGAAGGTTGACGCTGATGTAGGAACAACCGTTCTTATTAAGGGAAGGGTGGTTCACAAGGACAACCTCAAATGAAAACTTCCGATACAGTTATTTTGATACAGTTATTACAGAGGCGGTTATGAAGGAGGGTTTTACGGGAGTTACAATAACCCAATTGCTTAGGATAGCTAGAGTTAAGGTTTTAGCGAAAAAGAAATAATAATTTTTGTAATCAGCTTCCCTAGACCCAAGTTATTATGTAAAAATAGTACTATTTTTCCCGTATCGCATGCTGGCCGTATATTGCACTTGTTAGATAACATCATAGCTGACTGTGAAGGTAGCATCACCGCTGTTACTTCTTGCGTTGACACGCCAACGATAAGGTTCTGTAGAGATGCCGTAAATGGAACCTGCGCGCAAGGTCTCCACTCTGGCATCGTATCCCACTGTGCCACCAGGTCCACTAATTTAGCCCCCATCTCTGTCATAGACGACGGTATAGTGGTGGTAATGATGCACTGGTCGAGATTAGCGTAGAAGATGGCCCTGAAGTGTTTGTGAACGGCACTTACCTTGTTACGTTTAAACGCACCGCCTTTATCAATGGTACAACATATGTAAAAAACTTCAATGACTATCCGAAGAGACTTCCCCAACTGGCGACTTCAGCGCGACTCAACGTAACCTGCCATCATGCCCTGCTAAGCTTACCATTCCTTCACAAGTTGAGTGAAAAGAACTTGCAACGCATCTCCGAACTACGCATACGAACAATTGCTACACCAGTCGCTACCGATGTAATCTGTGCCATCATCTCCGTAACCACAATTGGATTAATCGTTTTACTGATGCGTCGGCGACGAAATGAAACTTCGGAGGCTCTGCGGCGAGTACTGGAAAGGTTGGGTATGGCCGAGGACGCCCATGTTTTGGAAGAGGGAGTAGTTAAGAATAGTTAACTAAGTCAGTCTCTTGAACTGCCAAAATTGCAATCTATGCAGTTTGGATTTCTGAATGACCGACAGCCGCAATTCAATACCTTGCAATAGCCACCTACCGTGTGACCGGCGGATGTAACGCAATGCCTTACACAAGCTTAGGCGTCAGCAGAAACTTAGAAAAGCAGCGTCAATGGCAGTAGCGGCGATAGTAATAGTAGGTTAAAAATAAGAAAAATGTAATTTTAATAAAACAGTTTTAGAACGGAACTCAACTTGTGTTTATTTAAAATAACATAATTCCGTGGTAGTCGACAACACCGTCGCTATCGCATAAACGGAATATTATTTAAATAGTTCGTGGGTAGTCGACAACACCGTCGTTACCACTCACAACGCACATATATATTCAAACTACTTAAAGTAAAAGTAGTGATAATAAAAAAATAACTATTATTTAAATAGTTCGTGGGTAGTCGACAACACCGTCGCTACCAAAAAAGGAACAGAAAAATTTAATAAAAATATAACTTATATATGTATATAAGTTGCGAGAGTTGCGAATAGGCCAATTACACCTTTAATACAATTTAATCCCTAACATAATAGATGTAATTATACTTGTATATCAAAAAAAAAAAAAACAGCTGAATCTGGGAACCATATAAGATCTAGAAAGACAACGGATATCTTCTTAATATGCTTACGCCATTTGGACCTCAACTATCCAATCTATCTAAGTCTTAATTTAACAAAAAATCATAATAAAGAAATGAGGAAAGGGTAAGTTCGGGTATAACCAAACATTTTTACTCTCCGAATTTTCAAGGGTAAGAGCTTAGGAAATACTTGACAGAATTTTATATCAAATAAGTAAGGAAGAGCTAAGTTTGGGTATAACCGAACATTTTACACTATCATAATTTGCATAGGTCAAAGGCGAGGAAATACATTCAGGTTTTGCAAAATTTCATATTAGTATTGTTGCGTACTAATTCAACATTCATAATTTGAGTAAAACATGAATGGATTAAAATCAAAATTAGTATCTATTAATTTATATTATATGCCATAGGCTCACTTATTACTATAACTTCCTCCGTTTCCGAGATATTTATATTTCCTATATTTCAATATTATACATTTACTGAATTTTGCTAAGATATATTACATACAGACCGATATATACGCTATAAATTAAACCGGTTAGTATTGGCCCATTTTATTCATTGTTATTAGAGAGAGAGATGCTCTTGTCATTTCTTTATATAAATATATATATCCTACATATTGACCGATATATACTGTATAAAATCAACCGGAAGTTTGAAAAATTTTATATTAGGTATATGAAGGCTAGGGGATTCACCCGATTTTACCCATCTTTGATAAAATGATTCACTCTGAATTTCAATAACATATCATAGAATTTTATTAATATTTTCGGTAAAAAATCAAATATAGACACTAAGGTCCATTCATTTGGTATCTGGAGATTTGAAACATTATCGATCGATTTCAACTATTTTTGGAGATGGCAGAATCTTAGAAGCACTATTTGTGAAAGGTTTTGTTCCGATAACTTTATTGGAGCTTCATTTATGTACATACCTATATACTGCAAAGTGAAGGAATCACATGAAATTGAAAATTTTGATATATAAGAAGTAAGTGTGGTTGTTGCCCGTTCATTTTTACAACGTAAGATTGAAATTGGTCGAGTAATTTCTTAGATGATCGTGTGCAATTAAAGGTGGACGTTATCACGTCCATTCTCCAATTTTGATACCGACTCTTACGAATCCCTTCCGTACCATCTTGGGTATTAAATTTAATGTCTCTGTGCGTTAATTGTTTGAAGAAAATATATTTATAAAGACTTCATAGTCTTGAAAGCATTTCATTATTAACTTTTTGAAATAGTAAGGATTTTAGAGGTCTTAAGCAATATCTAATAATGTTAAGTGCGGATTGACATCGCTTCAGAAATGTGAAGGCAACTAAAGCTTCGGATGGAAAAATTGTTAGGTATTGTGCATGCGTTATCTAAACATATTATACATAACTGAGATGTTTGGTATTTAATCTACCACTTACTTAATGTGCCCCTCATACTGCTTAAAACTTGCTCGAGTCGCGTCATCAGCTTTAAGCTGCGCTTCCTTCCATTTTCGAAATGAATCTATAACCTTCTCATTTTGTTTGCGAAGTTCGCATTGTTTTCTTAAATTGTTAAAGTATAAAATGAGGCTTTGAAATTTGTACAATACTTTAAATACTAATAAAACGTGTCATATACCTGTACTCGTTCTCGAGCTGCTTGTAGTCATCGCAAAGTACGTTGAATTGTCGCTTTAGCTCATTGTTCGCCTCTTGAAGTCGCATTGTACAGTCTTTTTGTGTAGATTCACTGCGTTGCATGATATGTTGCTGCTCCTTCATTACATCGTGAGCCGTAAATAACTCATTTTCGGTCTTCATTAATTTATCCGCCAGACATCTTTGTTTGTTTAGTAATGTGGCCTCTTTTTCTTTCAAAGCCAGTACCTCATCTCTTAATAGATTACGCTAAAAGAAATGCATCAATACCCGATAACCGCGATATAATTACACACATGTGTACACTGGCGAGCAAAACTTTTTCATAGGTAACATATATATTAGGACGGAACCTATGTTCATGACTACAAATTACAGCTTATATTTGTATTCACACACAAAAATGTATCTAAATGCTGGTGTACATCAAAGGAGCATACCTGTGTCATATTCAATATTTGGTGGTAGTAAGAATGGAAAATTTTATACTCTCACAATTTGTGAGGCTCAAAGGCGGTGAAATATTTTCAGGTTTTAACAAAACTTTGTATAAAATAAGGCACAAAGGTGTAAGTCCGGGTGTATTTAATAATCTCGCAATTTTCAAAGATCAAATCCGTTGCCATATTTCCAGGTGTTGGCAAAAAGTTATATTAAGTAAGTTTAGTTTTATTATTAAGTAAGTAAAGAAGGTGTAAGTTCGGGTGTAACCGAACATTTTATACTCTCGCAAGGTAAAGTGATATAAGGGATTTTCGTATATATTTTAATTAAAAGTTGGCAGTATTGCATCGCTTTATTTAGATTTTTTACATATTGACCGATAGATTTTATAAGATCAAATTATAAAGTCAACCGGAAGTACGAAAATATTTGTAATAGGTGTTTGGAGGCTAAAGGAGTAATTACCAGATTTTACCCATTTTTGATACAAGAGTATGCTGTTATGACAAAAATGTTTTCACCGAATTTTAATATTAGAACTCATAGAGTGACCGATGCTTGGTAAAAAATCAGCCATGCGCACCGGTGTCCACTTTCTGGGTCCTTGAAAAGTTATGGTTCGATTTCGACAATTTTTGGGCGTTAGATTAAAAACCTTGATGACACTATTTGTGCAAAGTTGTACCCCAATAACTTCATTGATGTTTAATTTGTATACTGTAAAGTGAAAGAGTCATATGGAATTAAAAATTTTTTTAAATGGAAAGTAGGCGTAATTATCAACCGATCCCGCCCATTTTCCAGTGTACAATAATAAGAATAGGATAACCTCACACACCAAATTTGGTACAAATTAGTTAATTAATTCCTTATATATACGATTTTACCTAAAAATGGGCGGTGCCACGCCATTGCCAATTTTTGTATTGGCTCTCATTAAGCCCTTCCCTGTCATCCTGACTGTAAATTTTATGCTTGTCGTTCTTTTATTCAGTGAGGTATCGCACTTTTAGTAATTTGCAACATAACCTTTAATGGTGAGTAGACGTGGTTATTATCTGATTTTTTCCCATTTTAGAAAGAAATGCCAAAAACACTTCTTCTCTGCAAGTTTTGTTGAGATAGCTTTATTGGTTTGGAAGATATGTACATTTAACCATTTAGATGGCGGGGCCACTCCCACTTTAAAAAAATTTCAAATCCACAAGTGTCCCTCACCACTGCGATCCCCTGCACCAAATAACAGTTTTGTATCCTAATTTAGTGCTCAGTTATGACACTTTATAGGTCTTCTTTCAATGGCATTTTGTGGACGTGGTAGTGGTCCGATTACGCCCATCTGCAATACTAACCCCACTTGGATGACAAGAAATACGTTTATCAAGTTTCATCAAGCTATCTCAATTTTTACTCAAGTTATCGGCTGCACGGAGAGACGGAGGAACGGACAGACAGATGTCAACTCGTCTCGTCGCTCTGACGATTTATATTTATACATTAGGTGTAGTTAAAAGAAATCCATTATTATTGCATGTAATTGAATGCTTTAATTATTACTTTTCGTATCCAGCCTTATTCAAATGGTTCCAAACGGTTTATTGTGCAATGTTTATGCATCGTAACCGATGTTTGAACTCGGCGATTTCCATTATTTGATCGATGATACAATTGTTAGGTGAACACAACTATTATACTCTGTGCAACATGTTGGGATAGTATAAAAATGTTGCATAAAAATTCAAAAATTATTTTTCGAATAAATTGTGAATGGATGCCATTCATATTTTATATCTTATTAAGTTATACACACAAGATCAAATATAACCCGGACATGTCATTATAAACTGTACGGAAGAAAGTCACAGGGAGCCAAAACTGGTGGATAGGGTGGCTGAGCGATGACTTTCGTTTCGTGTTTGCCAAAAACTCAGTCACAATCATGCTAATATGTGACGGCGCATTCAAGTCTTTCGGTATGAGTCTTTGACACCAAAATATTAACCAAAATAGTTGAGTTGATCAATAAGAGATGTTGAGATCGTCCACCATTTCTCGCAAGAAAATCAATTCGGTTTGCGTGAGTTAAAAAATACACACTAGTTGTTATTAAATATATTTTTCGTTAGCGTTTGAACAAATTTGTGTCTAATACTTTTCCACTTTAGCAGCACTTACCACTTTTATAGTTATAAGTTATTAAAATGCGCTATTTAGTTTAGTATTCGAATTTTATTATTAAATTTTACACAATAAAATTCCTTAAATAGAAGTTTATATATTATCGGATCGCTAAATCGGTCGGCGCGCGCGGAGCGGTGTTTTCCGAAAAGAATGATGTGGCGCAGGAGTATGAACGAAAAAAGGAATAGCGCGGGATCGCTTTCGAATTTAACGTGTTGTTTACGCGGCGCAGTGTCCTAACGAATATTGATCCTCTAATCTGGGGACTATCCTTTTTGTTGCTTGGCGGTGTGGGGTGTCGTCGTGTGGTGACATCTTGCTGAGTGTGGTGGTGTTCTCAGGTGTGGTGTGTATTAGTAGGGTACGCTAGTTTTTGCCGAATAGAGTGGTGTGTTTAGTTACTGAGGCTTAGCTCATTTAAACAGCATTTGTGTGCATCGTTTATTGATTGTAATGCTTTACTACCCCACATTTGGTTCGCTTCTTGCTATTTATCATCAAGAAATGTGATATGCACATGAGGAATTTTAAGATTGAGCCTAAGTTATTAAGAAATCTCCCAGCTATGCGATGAGTTGGTATTAGTTGAGATTTCACTGCTTCAATTGTAATGATTCTTACTTATGTTTTCGTAAGGTGTCAAAATTTTGGTTAAATTTGTATTATGGCACAGGCATGAAGTAATTGTATAAACATATTTTTGTATTTGTTAAGTCAGTTATGTGATCACTGAACATGAAAGTCTATAGCGAGAGCATATTGTGTTTAGTTATGTAGCTCAAGTATTCAACTTCGGATGTGTTCATATGTTCTTCAGGTGAGGAAGAATATATTAATACGTCATCAATATAGGCATATGCGAATTTGCAATATTGAAGGTTTATTTTTAAACCAATAGGCATATTAAAATTCATATTTTGCTCCATTCACTGAAAATACCGTCTTCTTTTTGTAATTTTCTTTAATTAGAATTTGGTGAAATCCCGATTCCAAATCTATCGTCGAAAATACTTTTGCTCTACCTAAATTTTTAATGGTCATATCAATATTGGGTATTTGGCACTGTTACTAATGGTGTATTAATCTTCTGAAAACCATTAATCTTTTGGGTTGCCCTTTTTCGTTGGTGGCATTTTCCGGAACAGTGCAAATAGAAGAATTATATGGGATTTTATTTGCTAGAATTATCTGATTATTAAGAAGTTTTTGTATTTCCGTATTCACGAAGTCGTTGTGGTAAAAGGTAAAATTCCGCTTATTTCTTCTTATTATCTCCCTAATATCTGACTCATATTCAATTATTATTTATTGCGTTCTTGAAAAGTTTTCGTCTTAGTCCTTCAGTTTCAAGTCCTCCATTCTCAAATCGCAGCAGTTGAAGTATATTCCAACGTAATATAGGTAATATATATACCAAAGGTATATATTTTAGACCAATTAGTCCTCGTTTCTTCTAAAAACACTGGCAAGATTGATAAAAATGCACATAAGAAATAATTTAACCCCAGAAAAAGTGGCAGTTTCGTATTCTATAGGAAAACCCAGAGAAAAACTTAAAAACGTAAACTGGATTGTAGCACAGAATAACAAGTAAGGAAGGTTAAGTTCGGGTGTAACCGAACATTTTATACACTTGCAACTGCATTATTCGACGAAATCGAGATTGGAATACAAACAAATTTTATTAAGTTATGTTATAGGTCATATACCTATTTCTTTCAATTCAGCTTCAATTATTATATTATATATTAATTTTAATCATAATCATTTTTAAATGAGATATATGTGATATAAACTCATACGAAGAAGCTAAATTGAATTGAGTTAATTTTATAACTTTTGAGAAAACTTAACCACTTAAGGGGGGAACCAGTTTAGATGATTCATAAAAATGGATTTTTTTATGCAATAAATTGTTAGTACAACTATTCAAGAATATGTTGCTTAAGTTTCAAAACGAAATTCCAATTAGGTCAGATGATATGAGCACTAAGGTATACACCGGTCGATTCAGTGCCGAAGCGCACTTTTTTTCGAATGCGGTTTTGTCGAAACGACTTTTTTTCAACTTGCGGGAATCCTAGCTCGAAAAGTTATTGACGAATCGATCTGAAAATGTGTGTGAATATCCTTTATTTAAGTCCGAAAAATATGAACCAAACTCTGAAATTATATTGTTAAGTAAAATATATTTTTTTATGTAAGAAAGGTGAAAGAAATGATATAAAAACATAACATTTTGTTCAAACACCACCAAAACTTTTAACTTTTAACTCTTTTGGCCAGAGTTTGGTTCATATTCTTAGAAAAAAAGAAAAAGAAATAATGATTTCAGATTACTACTGTGACCTCTAGGTGTCCCACCAGCTGTCAACTCTGATGGCGATAGTCAATGGACACCACCGTCTAACTCCACCACTTCTGGCGGAAATGGCATCGTAAAATTTAAAATTTATTGTATATCACCTCAAGGTGGGCGGTGCCACCCTTTGTGGAATTTTGACACTGGTTCCCAAAAATCCATTTTTTAACATCCCGGTTTTAAATTTAATGTTTCTGACGCATTTAGTTATTGATTTATCGCACTTTTAGTAGTGCGATTTCAGCTATTTTCACACTGTCGTAAGAGGTGTCGAAAGGATTTGTCTTCTGCAAATTTGGGTGATATAGCTTGAATGGTATACCACGGAGTCCGCTCCAATTTTTTAAAGATTTTCAAACCACAGATGCCACTCCTTATATGATTCGTTGTGCTGTATGGCTTAATTATGACACTTAATACGTTTTCGATTAATGCCATTTTGTGGGCGGGGCAGTGTCCTATTCCACCCATATACAATCGATGCCAATATACGTTTCATCGAGATATCTTAGTTTTTACTCAAGTTATAGCTTACACGGACGGGTGACAGGCAGTCACCCGGATTTCAACTCGTCTTGTTATCGTGATCATTTATATATAGATAACTCCGTATCTATCTCGATTAGTTTTAGGTGATACAAACAACCGTTAAATGCCCAAGTACTCTCGCTAACCTTATGGAAACAATATTAAACGATATATGCAAAACTGAACTAGTACTGTTCACTGGGAGTTCCGGTTTTTACGCTGCCATTAATAAATGACTATTAATAGAAGCGAAAGCAAGTTACTTGGGACTAATTTTAGACAGGAAGACAAACCAAGACCCCAGGGTAAAGTTTTATTTACCTTTAGCACTTTATATTTGTAAAATCAAGGTGGGGTCCAAATTGGGACTAACGCCTCGTGTAACTCATTGGCTCTACATATCAGTTGTTAGGCCGATTTTGGCAAAGAGTATATTGGTCTGGTGGCGAAAGCGTACAAAGAGCAAGTATACATAAGTTTTAGGTACTTAACGTCATTTTACATTTACTGCCCACATATTTGTTCAAGCAACTGGCAGCGAAGTCGCTTCTCAGACTGAGAGAATTCTCCCTATTAATCACCTGTAATAAGGGACTTTCTATTATACTTAGTAAGTTTCCGTTTCTACCCAATATCATAAAATTCGATTACGAGGTTGCACAGATACAACTTTTTGAATTGATTAACTTCATCAAGAGCACAGGGTAACCGAAATTTTATGGAAAAAGTGAGCCGTAGACATTAAGGTCCATTTATCCGGTAGCAGGGGCTTGAAGACTTTTATTGCAATATCTTGATTGGTTATTAGTTTATGTAAAATATTATTTGGTTGTAGTTTGATTCCGCCGTGATATAAGAATGTCCTGATTATATGATATACCAAATTTGGTCGAAATTGGTACAGTAGTTCCTGAGATATAGGATTTCTTCTGGCTGGCGGACGGTACCTTTGCCATCAAATTTTACATCGGCTTCTTTGAGACTCTTTTGAATAAAGTGTGATGCGAAACTAAATGCTTCTGACGCTCTTTCAACATAACCGCTTTATGGCGGTGAACAAATTTGGATTATATAGCTTTAGTGGATTGTGAGGTATGTACAGTAAACTTATTACATTTAAACTGCATATTGTTGCATATACGAGTAGGTTAATAGCATATTGTGCGCGAGGCAATGCTTGAATTCTTCCCATTTGCAATACCATCATTCACATTTGTGGTAAGGAACACGAGTATCAAGTTCCACCAAGATATGTATCTAAATTTTTACTTAAGTTAAGGCACGAGCAGAGAGTCAGCCGAAATTTAACTCTTCACGTCATCTTAACCAATTTGATATACATATATAACTCTTTACCTATCTTGATCCAAGAGAGTAAAAAAAAAAACTTAAATCGTTAAATGTTTCCTGTATTTTAGCTGTGGTCGCCAGTGTAGCTTTACCTCCATGTTATGCTCCTCTTGTCGTTTATCCATCAGTGCTAAACGTTCTTGTAGGCAATTCATTTGCGCACAGGCGGTTCGTAACTGTTTTGCCTGATCCTCATAGCTTCGTTCCAGTTCTTCATATTTTTTACAAATATCTGTCCGACAATCATTTTGGGACTTCAATAGTGTATTCAATCGATGCATCTGTGTACTTAAGTTATCTGCAATATATGTTAATATTAATAACTAGACAGGGCTTATATATATGTACATATGTACATAACTTATATGACCGTAATAAGGGTAAAACTTAATAACAAAAAATGTTGCAAATGAATTCAATGTTCGCAATTAAGTAATATTTGAAAATTTTATTTGGCAATATCTAGTTTAAAATATCCAGACTAACATAATTTAGAATATTCAACATAATAGCGGTAAAGTTGGAATCTGCAGACTTCTAAGTTTAAAGCTGTTTTAAATCCGTGGTAGCGTTTGGACGTTCTCGACAAATTTTTAAATAAATTTTTTCCAATAGAAGATTTAATATTACAATGAAGATTTTTTTATTATTTCAAAATTCCCCATTGTAACCAGCATATTAAGAAGAAAATGTATTCTAAACATTTAAATGCTTTCAATAGGAATACTTTGGACTCATGTATGTTTCCTTGGAAATAACGCTTCGACAGGCGAACGTTCGGACAGACAGAGGACCAGTTGATGAATAAAACTGCTTCATTCTTGTGAGAAATGTTGCATGATAGCAATATAAAACCTATCACATATATCATTTTTAATTGTTTTTGTTGTACTAAGTGGTGCGATATTTCACTGCGAGCATATTCATACTATACACACTATAAATTCATACTATAGTAGGTAGGTATAATAGGTCCTGTGTATGTTTTTGGAATTCTCACCGTGTTTCCGTTTACTGTCATTCAATTCTTCGTTTAGTTTACGAGTTTCGCAAAGCAAAAACCGCTCCTGATTTTGACTTTGTTCCAGTTCACATACAAGTGATTCAATCTTCTTATTCGCCTGTTCCAACTTCTGACACAACTCTCGTATTTCCTTATCTTTAGTTTTGAGGCAACAGTCGTTGGTACCTTGCTGTTCGCATCGTAGTTGGTCTAGCATACTATTTAGCTTTCCTATACATTGCTCTTTCTCCAAAATGGTTCCCTGTAGATGCTGCACCTGGCATCGAAGCTTTTCGTTCTGCAAGTGAAAGAATTTATTCCATTTAAATAAAAAATAAATCGTCAGCAAAAATATTTTTCGGACACTTTGGCAAAGTTCATAACAGTGTTTATGATTGTAGTGTGAAACTTGTTCCAATGCATGCTGCAGTGAGTCGTTTTGGGATTCCAATGTCTTGAGCGAAGACTCAAGCTTTGTACAATGGTCCTCATTATCTTCGGATGATTCACAAAATTCTTTTTGTACCATAGCCACTTGTCTCGAAAGAAACGTTAGTTCGTTTTTCAATTCATTGACTATGCTTAAGTAAGTATCATAAGTAGAAAGCATATGTGTTTTGTTCCATAATTTAAAAGGATGCTGAAATTGGTCGCCGTGTGGACAGTCACCTGACTTGTGAAAAAAAAGAAAACTTAAATATTGGCATTTGTTCATTGCACTTTTAAGCGACGTAAAAAACAAAAACCTTACCATGTTGTCGACAGTAATATGAGTATATATTGGTATTGGTTTAAATGTATTTCGTTAATTGCTGCAATTTCTTGTAATAATTATGAAACCAATCACTTTAAGCGACTATGCATATCAGAAATTTAGCTCGGTGAAAATGCCATTTTAATAATTTACAGTTTGATAAACGCAAGGAGCATTTTGTTTATTAAAAGTTATAAAAATATTTTTTGGTAATTGTTTGAATTTTCGTTTTTATTTATGTTCCTCACATAGCAATTTTTGACTTTAAATAGAAATTCGATTGTGCCTGTGAATATGAACACATATCAGCAAGTATCAAAGGGCTATGTTCAGATGGAACCAAACGCCTAATTTTATTTTATGAATGACGATCGTAATGAGTTTTTTTTTCTGATAGCCGAATTTCGAAATAATTTATGGTATCAGTCAAAGCTTTAGGTATGAGGGTAAAAATAATTTTTTTTTAATAAGTATTTCTAGAACTTCTCCATACATTGTGAAAATGGATGAAATCAGATAATAATCACTCCCACTCCCCATATGATGCTTATGTTTTTTTTTAATAAGTATTTCTAGAACTTCTCCATACACTGTGAAAATGGATGAAATCAGATAATAATCACTCCCACTCCCCATATGATGCTTATGTTGAAAACTACTAAAGTGCGATAACTCAATAAATAAATGCGCCACAGACGTTAAATTTTACATCCGATACCGTACGGAAGAGCATCAATGAAATCAGCATCAAAAGTGGACAATGGGCGTAGCACAGCCCACCTTTGGGTGAAGTCTTATATCTCAGGGATCACTCTATCAAAATAAATTTGGTTCGAATCATTGTTTAATTTTTATTGAAAATGGACGAAATCAGACAACAATCACGCCTGTTTGTGATGTGTACAATTTTAAATTCCTTATTATTCTTTTAATTGAATCTATAAATCTCAAGTACCAATGAAGTTATTAGAATACAAATTTGCAGAGTAGTTCCTTTAAGCTATGCCATCTCATGTCCGAATATAATCTAAATCGGATATCAAATTTTCAAGTCTCCATATACCGAATAAGTGGACCTTATTGCCTAAGGCTGTTGTTTTCACCGAAAATATCGGTAAAACTCTGAGGTATATTATTGAAAATCAGAGAATAATTTTCAAATAATAGTGTGCCCTTGTGTCAAAAATGAATAAAATCTTCCCTTAATAATATAAATAATTTAGAGCTTCCGGTAGACTTTCTTAGGCAATTATTCATATCGGAGTCTTGTGAGTAACATAATTATATTGGAGCAATACTTCCTCTATCCCTCATATACATAATATAAGGAATGTCAAACATTCTGTTGTTTCATAATTTTGTTCCCCTAACGGTTGTTTGTAACACCTTAAATTTATCGATATACTCGTATACATATATAGAGTTAACATATATGTATATACAGGAGCAGGAAGACGACAGGTTGTAGTAATAAAATATTCAAATGATTCTTCCATGAATTTTGAATATATGCTTATAATTTGAAATATACTTTTTTTTTATTTATGAATTGGTGTGACTTTTAACATATTAGAGATATAAACTGAACATAGCGTGCTAAATTTTACTAAAAT